CTTCTTCTTCTCCTCCTTCTCCTACTTCTTCTCCTTCTCCTACTTCTCCTACTTCTTCTTCTTCTTCTTCTTCTCCTTCTTCTCCTTCTTCTCCTTCTCCTGCTTCTTCTCCTTCTCCTTCTTCTTCTCCTTCTCCTTCTCCTTCTCCTTCTTCTTCTATACAAATATGAACAATATATCAACTCTTAGAAACAAAGAAAAAAAAGTCTAATATTATCAAATACATAAATATTATCTTCTAGAAGTAAATCAAAATTGGTCATTTTATCAGCTACTTGATTCACTTCACGCAACACATAAGACCAAATTAATGTCCACTTGTCAAGTTGAAAGAAATAATGCTTCACACCAATTAAAAAACAAGGATGATAGGGAACACATCTTTCCTTCGACAAAGTCACCACAATAGTTGAATCTGATTCTACTAGAAAGCTCCTAAACACTTTATTTCGAGTAATAGTTATACCAATACGAAATGTCCATAACTCAACAAGCTGGATCAAATAGTAGCCAATATTTGTAGCAAAAGCAAATATAACACCATCGAAATGATTATAAAAAACACATCCTGTAGCAACATTCATTGCTTTCGCTGAGGCATCACAATTTAATTTCATCACATTAGGGGGGAAGGGTTACCACCTCACAAGCATGGGCTCCACAACTATTATATCAGCATTGGACTTGTCCTCAATACGCAAGCAGCTTGACTCGATAGACATTTCACTTGGAAGAATGCAAACTCGTTCCTATATTTCCAAAACACATCTAAAGTCACTGTAAATAAAATGTTCCACCTTTTATTATTTGAATTGGAAGGCTTGCTTAAATTAGCCAAGAGCCATGATGAGAAATCTTGGTCAAAAAACCAAGAATGCTGCTATCCAAAGGGTAACATATACCAAATTACCCTTGTAGGGATTGCATAACATGATCCACATCTTCAATGCAATGTCCACAACGCGAACAAGACTAATCCTATATCAAATGTTTACCATATCTAATTGCATTAGTCAATAAGTCAAATTTTTTAATTTTCCACAATAAAGTACAGATTTGTTCAGGCCCAAGCTAAGACCAAATTGGCACAAGCAGCAAGTTACTCTTATTTTCTAAATCATAGTCAATTGTCAACTGTGCATATGTTGAAGTAACAGAGAAATTACTTGTTGAAGTTCCTTTCTAGAATAATACATCAGGACCTCTTGGATCATTTGGTGGAGAGATTGCATAATACAATTTAAAACATGCTCTTCTAGAACATTATTAAAAGCAATAAAATTCCAATTGTTGGGAAAAGAAGCAGCCTTCAAACAGCGACAGCGGAAGCATACACACAAAAATAGAGAAACAAAAACAAACTCATTTTATTTCTCTCCACTTACAATTTTTACAAGGACAAAATTGCAAACCCTCTCACTCACAAATTTTCTGGAAAAACTTGGAAACCTTCATACACAAGTTTTCTGGAAAAACTTGAAAACCCTCTCATGACACACAACTACCCAAGTCCCCAATACACCCATTGGAACCTATGTTGTTGTGGTGAGTAGACACTAACTATCACCTCTTATTTATAGTAGTAGTCTACCACTCCCTTCTTCAAACTACATGATGTGGGACTTTGGAGGATACCCACACACTTTGGGCACAACATTCCTCCCTTCAAGACTCTCCAATGTGGGACTTTGGAGGATACCCACTCTTTGGGCACAACACCAATCACATGTTTCCATAACCAAATCCTTCATCTTAAGACTATGGTGAGGGTGGGAAATGGTTTTTGTTGCTCATTCAATCAATCACTCCAACTTTCGAATCCACTCATCATTATAGAATTTCACTAGTTCTCTATTACGAACGCTCCAAGTAATACCCTGTTTCACTTGGCACCAGCAAATACAGATTCCCTTTTAGAAGTTTGAACCCATCCGATTCAAATTAACCAGAGGAATTATGGAGTCTCCACATTGATACTTGACTCTTACAACCTGTACCCGTAAAGCATCATGTCGCATGCATAACTTCCATCCACACTTCATGAGAAAGGCCTAGTTAGTCGCCTTTGATGATCTTAATCTCAACCCTCCAATAGATTTTGACTTACACATATTACTCCATCTCCATGCTATAGTGTGAATCTTTCTACTCCTTTCTGAATCCCCCCACAAAAGCTTCTTCATTATTTATCTATCTCATCACAGATAGATAAGGGTAATTTAATAGCTTGCATTGCATAAAAAGGTAAAGCTTGCATGATCGATTTCACCAAAGTAAGTCTTTCAGCAAAAGATAATTTACTACCCTTTTAGTTTGATAATTTGACGTTTACTTTAGTCATGATAAAACTTGTAAGTTTCTTTAGATATTATCTAGTGGAGAATTGGAATGTCCAAATACTTCCCCAAGCCTCTAGTAGATTGAAATCCCAAGGCTCGACTAATGTGTTGCTTTTGATGTCATCTCACATTCTTTGAAAAGAAAACATAACTTTTATCTT